GTCTCTATGTGCTGAGAATTAACTGACTTCTGTGACGTGAGGCGGCTAGCAGATGGTCGGTTTAGCCAGTCTGTCTGCTTCCTGACCTGGGCCCCAGTTAGTCAAGTACAAACTCTAAGACTATATGCCATATTTCTAGAGAGAAGAGAGAAGAGCGGCACCACCCCAGGAGGGATGAAGACCATCTGTTTTCAACAGTTCCGGTCTGCCCCAAAAACTTGTCCAATTGTCTATGAAACCTAGGTTATTCTGTGGGCACCACTTAGATATCCAGCCAATGAGTGACGACAGTCTGCTATGTATCTCATCACCACAGTAAGCAGGGAGGGGACCAGAGCATATTACAGTGTCTGACATCGTACTTGCAAGTTCACACACCACTTTAATGTTATTTTTAGTGGTCTCCGACTGGCGAAGTCAAACATTATTAGTGCAGATGTGAATTACAATCTTACTGAATTTACATTTAGCATTAGCCAGCACTTTTAAATTTTCCAAGATGTCAGGCGCTCTGGCTCCCGGGTAAACATTGGACTATGGTGGCTGGTGTCTCAATTTTCACATTGCGTGCAATAGAATCGCCAATAACTAGAGCACTTTCAACAGGTTTCTCTGTGGGTGCATCACAGAGTTGGGAGAACCTGTTTAGTGTTTTAAACGGAATGGAAGAATGGTGTTTTGTCCCACGAATATGCCGCCTCACAGTTACCCAGTCGCCCTGCTGCGGGTGCTCTGCAACCGGAACCGAACAATGTATGGGACGCGCTAAGCTAATCACATCCAAAGCCGTATCTAAGGCCCTCACATTCTTATTACCCTCAATTAAAGTTTGGATGCGTGTCTCTAGTTCTGAGATCTTCTCTGTCAGCCAAACTATTTCCCTGCATTTATCACATGTGAATTCCTCGCCGCTGACAGAGAAAGCTACACTATACATGTGGCAAGCAGTGCAAGTGACAATAACAGGAGAAGCCATTACTCACCATGATTGTTGAATGATTCTGACTTACCACAGTTGTTTAATGAACTGGTGAAAAATGGAGCAAGATCCATGTCTGTCAAAATATAATGCAGTACCATGTTGACTGCATCATCCACAGACCTGTTTGCTCTGTAGGCAAACTGAAGAGGATCCAGCAAGGGTCCAGTGATGTCCTTCGGGTAGGCCAGGACCAGTCTTTTAAATTACTTCATGACCACAGACGTGAGAGCGACAGGTCTGTAGTTACGTCCAGTGATTTTGGGTTTTTTGGGGACCGGAATGATAGTGGAGCATTTGAAGCAGCAGGCAACTTCACACAGCTCCAATGATCTGTGTAAAGATGGGGGCTAGTTGGTCAGAGCAGACCTTTAGAAAGGCAGGTGAAACACCACCTGGGCCTGAAGCTTTCATAGTCTTCTGTTTCCTGAAGACTCGGTTCACATCCTCTACAGACCTTAAGCGCAGGTTGAATGGTTGGGGATGCAGGAAGGGGGGTTGCAGGGGGGGTGGG